GAACTGGAGAAAGCCAAGAAGGCTGTGGAGACTGAGAAGACTGAAATTCAGACAGCACTGGAGGAGGCTGAGGTAAAATTTTGATTAAGTAATATACTTTTAAATCAAATCAAACTAATCCATTTGGTATTAATTCAAGTGACATTTATTAACATAATTAAAATTATTTAAAGGGTACACTGGAGCACGAGGAGGCCAAAATTCTCCGTGTTCAGCTTGAGCTCAACCAGATCAAAGGCGAGGTTGACAGGAAGTTGGCAGAGAAGGATGAGGAGATGGAGCAGATCAAGAGGAACAGCCAGAGGGTGATTGACTCCATGCAGAGCACTCTGGATGCTGAGGTCAGGAGCAGAAATGATGCCCTCAGAGTCAAGAAGAAGATGGAGGGAGACCTGAATGAGATGGAGATTCAGCTGAGCCATGCCAACAGGCAGGCTGCTGAGGCCCAGAAACAGCTGAGGAATGTCCAGGGACAGCTCAAGGTGAGTTTTGTTTGATTACTTATTTAATTAGTTTAGAATAAAAGACAAATAAGTGAACTTTTTTCTTTTCTTTTCAATGTCAGGATGCCCAACTGCACCTTGACGAAGCTCTCAGAGGACAGGAAGACATGAAGGAGCAGGTTGCCATGGTGGAGCGCAGAAATGGCCTGATGCTGGCTGAGATTGAGGAGCTGAGAGTTGCTCTGGAGCAGACAGAAAGAGGCCGCAAAGTGGCTGAGCAGGAGTTGGTTGATGCCAGTGAGCGTGTTGGACTGCTTCACTCTCAGGTTTGCTGTCATCAATTCAAAAGAAACTAATACTTTGAATACATTATAATAACAGTATGTTATTAAACACGGCTTTTCTTGAACATGCAGAACACCAGTCTTCTGAACACCAAGAAGAAGCTGGAGACTGACCTTGTCCAGATTCAGGGTGAAGTGGATGATTCAGTTCAGGAAGCCAGGAATGCTGAGGAGAAAGCCAAAAAGGCGATCACTGATGTGAGTTTACATCTCTACCTCACCTTTGTTATGATTATAATCTTCTTCTGTGCACTGCTAATGTTAAGTTTATTATAGATTATGAATGATTTAGAGAACATTTTATCATTTTAGGCTGCCATGATGGCGGAGGAGCTGAAGAAGGAGCAGGACACCAGTGCTCACCTGGAGAGGATGAAGAAGAACCTGGAGGTCACCGTCAAGGACCTGCAGCACCGTCTGGATGAGGCTGAGAACCTCGCCATGAAGGGTGGCAAGAAGCAGCTCCAGAAACTGGAGTCCAGGGTATGCACTTCATGCACTGTGGCATAACTTCTTGTTTAAGCATGCAAATCAGACTTTCATCGAGTCGAATGTATTCAAATGCATTTCACTGCATTTTTTAATTAACTAACCATTATCACATTTCAGGTGCGTGAGCTGGAAGCTGAAGTTGAAGCTGAGCAGAGGCGTGGAGCTGATGCTGTTAAAGGAGTCCGCAAATATGAGAGGAGAGTGAAGGAGCTGACCTACCAGGTAATTTATTTCACTAAAATACAAAAAAACAGCGTACTTTGAAGCCTTTATTCTCGTTCACTAATAATCCTTTATCTGTGTAGACTGAGGAGGACAAGAAGAATGTGACCAGACTTCAGGACCTGGTGGACAAGCTGCAGCTTAAAGTCAAGGCTTACAAGAGACAGTCTGAGGAGGCTGTAAGTGAACTACATTTATATGTCCAATAATTTAATCTAGAATAAATCATGCCATAACACCCAAATTAACTGCCTTTAAACTCGCTTTACAGGAGGAGCAGGCCAACACTCACATGTCCAGGCTCAGGAAGGTTCAACATGAGCTGGAGGAGGCTCAGGAGCGCGCTGACATCGCTGAGTCACAGGTCAACAAGCTGAGAGCTAAGAGCCGTGATGCTGGAAAGGTAATCATTTCTGAACTAATATTTCAAAAATAAAGATGGCAATATAATTTTATTCTGGATCAGGAGTATTTAGTTGGGTATCATGCTAACAACTTCCAATATCCCATTGCTACAATGTAGAGCCACTTTTAGAACCATGTGTATACAACCACACATGGTGAAATAGTCTGTGCCCACCCCTCAAAAATTGTTACTCATTTAAATAATTTCATCTTTCTTGTGTTCTTTTGCAGGGAGGTGATGCTGAATAAGAGACCGCATCCAGATGCAGCAGCTCCACAAGGTTCATAAAATATGAGCCAACATTAATTATGTTCACACTATTACCTTTCAATAAATATTATGCATATCACTCAACACCATTTTCTCTGTGTTTCCTCCAGTGCTTAAATTGTAAAATGAGTTCAACATTGCCTCTACATCATGGGGGAGCTGAATTAGTCTAACATGTTACAGGGCAGTTAAAATTATCACATGAAATTTACACTTAACTGTTTAGTAACATTTTTAGTTTAGTAACAGTTTTTCAATGATAAATACTTGATAAATACGGGCTGACTCAACAGCATGGGCCAGGGCATTCTTGGCCTGTTGAACACACAGCCCATGTCCAAATCAGATCTAAAGCATTTTTTCTCACTTCCGTTTTAAATATAGTTACTCAAAGATGTCTCAGACAGTACAGAAGAAATTTCACACAGAAATATTTTATGCCAATTGGCCAATCACATTCTGCATCATATCACCCATGAAAGTGTTTTATCTCCTCCTTAATATCACATACAGTACAGGCCAAAAGTTTGGACACACCTTCTCATTCAATGCGTTTTCTTTATTTTCATGACTATTTACATTGTAGATTCTCACTGAAGGCATCAAAACTATGAATGAACACATGTGGAGTTATGTACTTAACAAAAAAAGGTGAAATAACTGAAAACATGTTTTATATTCTAGTTTCTTCAAAATAGCCACCCTTTGCTCTGATTACTGCTTTGCACACTCTTGGCATTCTCTCCATGAGCTTCAAGAGGTAGTCACCTGAAATGGTTTCCACTTCACAGGTGTGCCTTATCAGGGTTAATTAGTGGAATTTCTTGCTTTATCAATGGGGTTGGGACCATCAGTTGTGTTGTGCAGAAGTCAGGTTAATACACAGCCGACAGCCCTATTGGACAACTGTTAAAATTCATATTATGGCAAGAACCAATCAGCTAACTAAAGAAAAACGAGTGGCCATCATTACTTTAAGAAATGAAGGTCAGTCAGTCCGGAAAATTGCAAAAACTTTAAATGTGTCCCCAAGTGGAGTCGCAAAAACCATCAAGCGCTACAACGAAACTGGCACACATGAGGACCGACCCAGGAAAGGAAGACCAAGAGTCACCTCTGCTTCTGAGGATAAGTTCATCCGAGTCACCAGCCTCAGAAATCGCAAGTTAACAGCAGCTCAGATCAGAGACCAGATGAATGCCACACAGAGTTCTAGCAGCAGACCCATCTCTAGAACAACTGTTAAGAGGAGACTGCGCCAATCAGGCCTTCATGGTCAAATAGCTGCTAGGAAACCACTGCTAAGGAGAGGCAACAAGCAGAAGAGATTTGTTTGGGCCAAGAAACACAAGGAATGGACATTAGACCAGTGGAAATCTGTGCTTTGGTCTGATGAGTCCAAATTTGAGATCTTTGGTTCCAACCGCCGTGTCTTTGTGAGACGCAGAAAAGGTGAACGGATGGATTCCACATGCCTGGTTCCCACTGTGAAGCATGGAGGAGGAGGTGTGATGGTGTGGGGGTGTTTTGCTGGTGACACTGTTGGGGATTTATTCAAAATTGAAGGCACACTGAACCAGCATGGCTACCACAGCATCCTGCAGCGACATGCCATCCCATCCGGTTTGCGTTTAGTTGGACGATCATTTATTTTTCAACAGGACAATGACCCCAAACACACCTCCAGGCTGTGTAAGGGCTATTTGACCAAGAAGGAGAGTGATGGAGTGCTGCGGCAGATGACCTGGCCTCCACAGTCACCGGACCTGAACCCAATCGAGATGGTTTGGGGTGAGCTGGACCGCAGAGTGAAGGCAAAGGGGCCAACAAGTGCTAAACACCTCTGGGAACTCCTTCAAGACTGTTGGAAAACCATTTCAGGTGACTACCTCTTGAAGCTCATGGAGAGAATGCCAAGAGTGTGCAAAGCAGTAATCAGAGCAAAGGGTGGCTATTTTGAAGAAACTAGAATATAAAACATGTTTTCAGTTATTTCACCTTTTTTTGTTAAGTACATAACTCCACATGTGTTCATTCATAGTTTTGATGCCTTCAGTGAGAATCTACAATGTAAACAGTCATGAAAATAAAGAAAACGCATTGAATGAGAAGGTGTGTCCAAACTTCTGGCCTGTACTGTACGTGGTAGATTAAGTGGTGAAGTTAACTGTTAAGTGAACTATGGCTTTAAGTTTACCAGAAAAAAAAGAAAAGAAAGGACTAGTGTGTAGTTTCTTTTTCCAACTTACCTCTGGATGTACTACTACTTTTTTTGTCAGTTCATTTTGAAGAAATGGCAACTTACTTACCATCATCTCAAAAGTTGAACAATAGCGTGTATATATATGCATAGAATAGCTCATTGAAGAGTAAAGTTAAAATGAGACTATTCTAAATAGATACTTGCATATGTATGTAGTGGACCAGAAAACCTTATGTTTCTGTTCCGTCACAGTAAATGTTTTGAACCTGATCATGTGGTGCTCTGCTACTAATTCTGCAAACTTCAATGCCGGGAAAACGACTGACTTCTTGAGAGTGAGAGCCAGTTTCTAGCATCAACTTGCCAAAACTTTATATTTCTAAGGACTTCTTATGGTCCCATAACACCTCTTCTCTGGTGAGAGACACTTTAACAATGACATAAAGATGATAAGGGCCAAATTTGCAGATAGCTTTTCGTGAACTTTTACCAACATCAACCTCGCGAGTCAAGTGCATTAATTTGGTTACAGCTGTAATTACAATGTCACTACAACAGAATAGCATAGTAGTATAATCCTAAACACTTTACAGGAAGATTAGGCCAGCACTCACATGTTAAGGCTCAGGAATGTCAAGATGAGCTGGTGGAATCTCAGGAGCGCACTGACATCGCAGAGTCTCTCCGAGGTCAACAAGTTGAGAGCTAAGAGCTGTGATGCTGCATGGTATCTTATCAATCTGTTGATTGATAATGACAGCATTAGGACTGTACACAAATACTTAATCTGATGGCTAAATGATATGGTTATAGGGTAGTAATGACATGATTTACTATTTATGACAATTTGCTAGACTGACCTCATTTTCAGGATGTCAAACTGCACCCTGGTGATGCTGTCAGAGGACAGGAAGACATGAGGGAGCAGGTTGCTATGGTGAGACACAAAAATGGCCTGATGATGAGATTGAAGAGCTGAGAGTAGGTCTGGAGAAGACAGAGAGAGGATGCAAAGGGGCTGTGCAAGAATTGGCTGATGCTAGTGAGCATGCCGGACTGCCTCATTTTCAGGTGTACTGTCAATCAAAACAATATTCATCCCGTAAATATTGTGTGCAGTCCTTAATAATATTTTCTAAGCTCCATTTTCCAGGCAGCTTGGAAGAGGAGTTAGCCTAAAGCAACATTCATATTTTCACACACTAAACAAGTCTCACCAGTCCAGAATCTCTACTTCAGACTTTCCTAAATTCTTCTCTCAGTACACCATGCATCCAAATACATATGAATACATCCCAAACTCGATGACAGTATGGCACTATTTTCCTTTTCAGAAGTATTTTTTTGCCCAGTCCATTGTGTCAAGAAGTCTTGTTGTGTGTCTGTCCAGTTGAATTCTATAATTTAGCTAGTGTAAACTGAGCAGACTAATTGGACCTAGGGTCCATAAAAATGTTATTTTACATCTGTTGTCAACAATAAAGCAAGCCAGAATATGACGTGTCAAATATTGAATATTCTTTCTTTCAGATAAGATTTGCTTTGTTTTCTTTCCACATGGCTCCAAACTACGGCTGAACAATATATTGATATTACACCGTTATTATGATATGAGAAAAGATATGATCTTAGATTTTGGATATTGTAACATCGTAAATGTTGTCTTTTCATGTTTTTAAAAGCGCCATTAACGCCAGTGGTTAAGTTGAGAGTATATGCAGGTATAGGGGATATACCCACCTCTTTTTGAGGCTCTTTTAAGTATAACCATCTATCAGCAAAAAAAAATATTGGAATATTTGCCATAGGATAGTATACAATTTATGCCAATATTACAAAGTCTGTCACAATATGATTCAATTTGATGCAATTTAGGGGCCTGCAATCAATATGAGACGATATCATATACCCATTTAACTCTTTTTTGTCATTAACAAAAGAAGCTGCCACCAATTTCTATTTTGCTTTTAGCCATAAAAGATAAAAACAACACATCAATATATGTAACTGCAGAAGTGCATTTAAGTTACTTTAATCTGACTCCACTAATACATAAAACAGCACATGCAATATGTTAACCTTCAGGGCTTTCTGCTATTAAGTCCTCTCTGAAAGATTTTTCATTTAAATCCAAACCATCATCTTTTAACTAACGGTCCATTTGGTTTAAAACCCTGATGGCAAACTTCATTCAACAGCAATAAAACATGGATTAACAACATCATTTAACGTAAGTATCACATTCAGCTCAGTAATAACTGTCAAGCTTCAAGGACAAAACAACTGTTTTTTGCTAGTGACCCATTATTAACATGTTTACATTGCATAACGTTAAATTACCCTAGCATCTAGTGTACTTTTCCCGCTACTTATAGCTTATAAAATGACATGTAACATTATCATTTTTTCTTACTTACTGTTGGTTTAAGTCACTGAATGTCCCGACAGAAGAGCTCGGTTGAACATCGGCCAGCATGTAGGTTTTTTCCAGCAGGACATCGTTGAAACAGAGCAGCTAATGTTACTGCAGTGACAAGTTAGCAGGGTGACATGACCGTTAGTTAATTTAGCCATCTTGTTATATTAATTGTAACAACTAAGGTTGATGTCAGATTCACTACAAATATCTATAGAAATATTTGCGACCTCCATGTTAAAATAAGCCAAGAAAAAAACCCCACAACTGTTGAATTTTAGGTGTTTTTCCGACACCACTGACGGAAAGTCGACTTTTCTTTTTCATTAGCCAGAAACCATGGCAACAACAAGGTTCGAGACGTGTGCATCACTTCTTTGTTCCCCCTGGAAACAGTTTCCGATGTATGTTTATTCAACAACAATACACGAGAACTGAAACAAATTGCAATGAAGGATGAACAAATAATAAATAAAGTAAGAAGTTGTGTTGTGATTCTATGCACGGCAGCTCATGACGTATTTTCCGGTGAAGTGTAAGGCTGCTTCAACTTCTGCTAAATGTGGAACCCTGTACTAGTGTAGGGATGCTAGTCATATTGTAGGTTAAAACAGCCTAAACTACGTTAATTTACAATACATTTTGATTCGTTTCTTTGTCTACGTTATTCCAATTTTAGTGTCTATGTTTATGTCATGACCTCAAAATGTGTATTTTCAAAGACGCGAGGACAGCACTTCAGGACACCACTGCTTTGTGCCGCAATGTACAGCTTCAGCTAAGTTTAATTCCTCGTAGTTTCTATGCATTTCCCAAAGACATTGAACTACAGAAGAGGTGGGTGATTATAATAAGACACAACGTGAAAATAAATAAGTTTGCTCTCTTGGCTAGTTTTAGAAAAAGGATAATAGTTTGGGTTCAAATTAAGAGGTTTCTGTCGAAAGGGCTTTCTGGCAGAAATCCCCTAAATGCTAACATCTCCCTTTTCTCTATTTGCAGCAATTTTCCTAAATGCTACATGTATAGTCAAACTGGAGAAGATGTTTCCATTTTGCTCTTGTTGTGTCTATTTGCAGGGCGTTGAGCTCTCAGAGCCACTGTATTACATGCCATGGACAGAAGCCGTCTGGAAATGAAGCGCACACAAATCACTTAAAAGAATTCAAAACAGAAACCACTGGCAAGCCACTGTCTGAGATTATGGTGGGACTTAACATTGAGTCAGTGGCACTTGTAACAGTGTAGACACTCACTGTTATGGAATGACAATTGGCTTAATATAAGATCAGAACCATTGCAGGCATTCAAGCACTCTCCTGTGGCTTGGCTGTGTTCAGAGGGGCCATAGTCGGTACAAATTAATAGGGATCCCAATAGCACTCTAAATTTATGACCAGTCCTGCTCATTGCCAACAGGGCCCATTCATAAACACAGTGCTGACTGGCGTATTTGAAATGAAACAGAGGCAGTTAACTTGTGGTGCAATGTGGTACATAAAACTGTCATTGGCTGACAATGTCATCGTTTAATTTTTCAGTCATATTAGTCTGACAATGCTGAGTAAGGGACTGTACGTTATTTATGAGGGGGGGGTGAGTCAAATAATTTGACTTATGGGTTTTATGTTTTGGCTTAGGGGAAGGGCATACAAGTGGTTGTGTTTTGAGCTTATCTTCACACCAATTCTTAAAGATGACATGCAGGTTAGAAAGGCAGGTTTTCATTAAAAAAAAATGGCCAAAATTACACAGTTTATCAAAGCCAGAAACTGTAAAAACAGAAATTATCGTTGGATTTTCAAATTTCCGATAGTCCCTGGACACATCATGTGTGACTACTTTTCAACTCCAGGATTTTGTCTTTAACTTTTAACTTTCAAATATCAAAAGGTGAGTTTTAAAAATTTAGTAACAAATTTATAGTGGAGGGAGGGTCATGAATTTTCCACTAGTCACTCATGTAGCTTCAGGGAGGGTCAACAAAAAAGTCACATCCCAGCCACCCTCTCCTCTGATAAGTATAAAACAGCCCCTAAGTAAGAAAGAAAATCTGGTGAACAACTTTCAACAGAGTAAAATGTAAAATATGAACAACCTATTGTGATATGAACAAATTACTTTCTTGACTTTATTGTGACTTCTTTTTTTCTTCCAAAGTCAAACTCAGTGCACCAAGGTAGGTAAGATTAACTGGATATAGGACCAGTGTTGTATGTGGGTTTTTTACATAGGCTTTTTATGAAGGGTTCTTACCATAAAAACTATTTCTGTGAAAGTTAATAAATAATCCTACACCATGGTTCAGAAAAAAAGTCATTGAAACCTTCTCCTTTAAATGATAGTCTTTCAAGAATGAGATAATTGCTTTCCTACGTTTATTAATATTTATTTATTTACTTATTTATTTGGCACTGTGACTAAGTGGCTCAAGTCATTATTTTACAAGCCACAAATAAGTTTTAAGGCTTGGCACTCAAGTCCCAAGTTTTTGTAGTCCTTGCCCTCACCATGTATTGCCTTTTTAAAAACAGAATAATAATGTTTTACGTTTACAAAAATTATGAATGCTTTTAAAAAGTTGTATTTATTTTTTAAAACAAGTTTGTTGGAAGTTACTGCATCTGTAACTGTAATTGTAAACCTGCACATTTTGCATACTGCAGTTAGATTTTTGTTGACCACCACATAGTTTTTGTAAAAATGTACAATTGTTAGTGTGCTGCTGGGAATAAATAGCATTAACGTTAGCTGATTAAGGATATGTAGACCAATGAACTGATTCATAGCACACTTTTTAAATAACATTGTTTCATCATTGGACTTGGGGGAAGGCAGCTAGTAGCCTATTTTCAAGTCAAAAGGTTCAAGTCCAAGTGAAAACAAAGTCACTGATGATAAAGTCCATGTCGCGTTGCATGTCTTTTTTGATTTTGTGTGAAGTCATCATCTTGAGTCTGACTTGAGTCCAAATCATATGACTCAAGTCCACAATTTAGAGGACATGGGTGTAACTATATACTGTATACAGTAGGTTACATGATGTTACAACCAGGAAGGATTAATTAACAGCAGTTAAAGGGGCTCTTGTCTTCATGGCACTAAACCCTCACAGTATGCATAAGAAGCACAGGTGTTGTTGGACCTTGGGGTAGATGCTATTTATGTGGATACTGCAGACTAACAGGTTGTCCATTTGTGCACCAAGATATTTTAGGAGTTGACTTGGGCTTTGTTCTGCTTATTGACAACTGCAGGGGAGTGGACCCTGGCCCTATGGCTTGTGACGTACATAAAGGCAATTTCCTTTGTTTAGAACCACAAAGACAGTATCATATGACCATTCAGCGCTGTTTGTGTGTCATTGATGAATGACTGACGGATCTGGTATGCTGCAATGATATACCTCAACTATGGAGAAAATTACCGCTGTTAAATATTGTCTCATGTCTCACTCATGACACAAGATTATTTATGAAATATATGTGAAATATGATATAAAGCTTTAGTGTTGGGCTCACCTTCTCCAACTTTCTTTTGTACTCCTTGTAATTCATTATCTCTTTAGAAATCATTGCATTTCATGTCAGATAATTACTATTAATTACATAAATCCTGAAAACTCAGCATAAAAAAGTAAACCTGCCAGAGATCTCCCCCATTCAAACAAAATCAAACAAAGAAAAACCGAGACAGAGAGAGCTTGACCCACACAACCTTTGTTTCTCTCAATGTTACTACCCAGCCACGGAGGAGCCTTACACTCTTTTAAACCTTCTCAGGCCCCTCCTTGCCAGACATGTTTGGCATGTCATATGTCAGTTTAAGGCCTCAGTGCAAAGGGTGATCTATAAGCAACTACCAGACTCAAGGACATACAAAGGAGAGGGTTAGTCTGGACGATTTTCCGTCTTCTCTCCTAAACACAAAGGCCTGGCCCTTTCATGATAACCTAATTATGAGATGGATTCATAGTGACATTCACAGTTTACACTTGCGGTAATGATGCAAAAGTTTGAGCTTTTACTTATTACAGAGAAGGAAAAAACTCAAACGGCAATATGTGCTCCACATATTCTGCATTTTAATCTTTTAAAAGTTAAATTATATACAACAATTTTTCAGGCAACTGGCAGTTGAAATGTGTCTTTTCACAAATCCTCCCTGCACACAAAGCACATACGTGCAATCAGAGGCAGTTTGAGGGTTCAGTGCCTTGCTCAAGGTGAACTGGTACTCCTCCAGTTGCTAGTCCACACTCCACTCTTGATCAGTATGAGGACTTGAACCAACAACCCTCTGGTTCTCAAGCCAGGTCCCGATGAGCTGAGCTTCTGCCCTGATGGTGGACTATTTAACTATAAGCACTGCAGCACTGGCAGCATTCACACTGGAGTAACAGAAACAACTCTGCATTGTGGAATTACATTAATTTCTAATTACATGGTTCTGTCCCTTATACTTCAAGAATTGTATAACTACTAGCACCTCAAAGTACAACATAAATATAACACTAATAAAATGGCAACTTAGGTTGGGGATTTACTGGGTTGAAAGGTTAAATACGGCTCAAATCAGCTGGCACATTTTGTCACAGTCACAGTAAGAGAGAATAGTGGGCCCTGTGTGTGTATGTGTGCGTGTGTGTGTGTGTGCGCAGCACACTGTATTCAAGGTGACACAGCACGTAGCCATACATGCCATCTGTAGCAAACTTTCAGCCTTAGAAAATGAACAATTTCTGACCAGATAGATGTAATGGAAAGACAGGCTCTTGTTTTTGTGATGCAGACTGGGAAATAGCGCTAAACCACGGCTAAAAAACTAAATCCTCTCCCTCTGATGTGCAAAAATAGCCCTTTAATTTGTTTAAGCACACCAAGGGTCAAACAAGTTGTCAAAAGGGGGAAAAAAACGACTGAAGACCTTTGACCTTACTTGAATAGCTTGTGTGCGACACATGTCTGTACAATAGCCACCTACTTATTGAGGTGTCATTCCTCAAGGTCATTGCCTTTTTTAAAGTAAGAAGGTTAGGTAAATATCAAAAGGAAAAACACAACGTTACTCAATAAATACATCCAATAACTAGGGAAAAGTACAAATTTCTTTCCCCTCACTTGTTTCAAATCTTAACTTTCATTAATTCTGGATGCTCTTTTCATTCATGGTAATATTACAGCTCTGGAATCTCCAACATCTTGTTTATAGGCCCGCGATTTATTTTGGGTCTTATCCCTGCCTAGATGGCAACTGTTCTTCCACTCCATTCCAAGGCGATATGTAAT